CTCTCAACCTTAATCACATTTCCGAAACTTGTGGTGATATCATAATCTCCCCGAAATGGCCACCCACGTTGTTACCGCCACTACCACTTCTCCCGTTCTCGCGGGTAACCAAATCTCCCTCTACGGTCAACCCACCCCTATCAACTCCGCCGATACCACCGCCAACAACTCCCCGGCCTCGCCTCAGCAGCAGTACCTTCCGCTCCACAGCAAGCAGCTTCGTCCATTGAAGGGTCCTCTGTATGTCCCCGCTGCTTTGCGCCCCAACAACGACCACGCTACTCAGAAAGCCTCTCCGCCTTCTCCTCCCCGCAGTGTCCACGGCTCCTTGGACAGCCTGACTGAGGGCGAGATCGGCGTCCCGGCTACTCGTCGCTCCACTATGGAAAGCTACAGCAGTGGCTCGACTGTCAGCAAGCTGGCTGAGGATGAGTGGATGAAGAAAGAAGACCTTGGCGAGGTGACCGGCCAGCCTACTCGTGAACACTGGAAAGTGAGTATCTCTTCCCCTTTTTCTGTCTGGGTGGGCGATCGCTTGTCTTATAAAGTCACCATGGCGTGCCTGCGGCGCACTGTCGCGCAAGGCGTGCCATTGCGAATCATCGCGTGATCAGCATGACGCCATCGCACCCCTGCATCATCCGCTCGAACTTAAGCTAACAACGATCTTCCTTCAGGCCGACTCTGCTTCTCCCAACTGCGATTCCCCCACCTGTCGCTCCTCCTTCGGCATCTTCCTGCGTCGCCACCACTGTCGCCATTGCGGCCATGTCTTCTGCTCCTCCCACACCCCCTATGTCGTCCCTCTCGATCAGAATGCCCGCTTCCACCCCGAGGGTGTCCCATCGCGTGCCTGCGATCTCTGCTGGAGCGCGTATTCGCGCTGGGAGGAATCGCGCACTGAGCGCCTCAACAAGATCCAGACCCAGATTGATGCGCAGACCGGTACTGTTGGCGAAGCTGACCGCGCTGTCTCCCTGGCCACCAAGCCCTCGCCGGTCGAGAGCCTCAAGGCCGCTACATTGAACGGTGTCCCTGGTCAATCCACCGAGATCGCGGCCAGCGTCCCTCGCGGCTGGAACTGGAGCACTTTCTGAAATGACCACGACTTCACGCATTAATGAACATGCCCATACACGAGGGGTTGTCGGCTTCCACAATGATCCATGCTGACCGACGCCCACTTCGCTTCACTTCACTTCGTACATACCTGTTCTAGAACATGTCTTTTCTCTGCTGTCGTCTGTTTCGGATCCATTTTTCGGTGTTACTGTGCGGAGTTTCGGAAGACCTTGTGTTGCTTTGCTTTGTCTTGTGGTGTTTTCTTCCTTTCTAATGATCGTCAAAGAGGCGGAGGTGTTTGTCTTCAATCTGCTTGTCTCCTTATGCTTAGGATACCCCGTCATGTTGTTACGAGCGGCGATCTCTTTTTTTCCTTGCTTCATGGTACGGTGTTTTCAACCCGACCTTCCAATACACACGAGTTAGATCTCAACAAGAATGAACAATATCCAAGAATTTTATTTTCTACTTCGTTGTAAACTCTTGCTGTACACGCCACACCCTTTTATGAAGGAACATCTGCAAACTCCTACTCCATCATAAACTCTCGTTGTACACCCCACTCCTCCCGCAAGGAATCTCTACATGCCTACTCCAGAACAAGCCTCCTCCACATCCCCAGGTGCTCAATCTCGTTCTCATCCCACCTCCCCATCCCCTCGTCCGTCACAAACCCACACCGCTCATACATCTTCTCCACCTGCGTCTGCGCATGCACTAACACCAATCCATTCCACAACGGGCGCGCCACCACCACCCCCGCCCCATCCTTTCCTGGTTCTTGCGCGGCAGCAAAAGCCGCAGATGCAGCAGCAGCATCAATCTCCCGCGCATGCTCCCTCGCCCACGCCAATGCCGTCTCCACCACCGCCCGCCCCAGCCCGTACCCCCTATACTCGCGCAGCACCGCCACCCGCGTCAACTTGATGTAGGGTTCTGGTTCTTGTGCTTGCTCCGCCGGCGCACCATCCCCATTCCCCGTTCCGTCGTGATTGTGGTTGTGGCTGTGGTTGTGATGCTCGTGGACGATCGGCGGCGGAACGAGCCGGATCGTCGCGACCGGGATGCGATCGCGGCTTTCCGGTGCGTCTGGTTGAGGAGGTTCTTGGGCAGTGGGGTTTGCCCCGGCGCGAGCGGGGGTAGGGGAGGTTGACTCCGGGGTCTGGTCGTGGTAAACCACCCAATGCCAGCTGCGGCCGTCGTCGGCGTCGATCTCCTCCTCGGCGCTGCAGTGCTGTTCGTCGATGAAGACTTTCTGGCGGATGCTGAGGGCGTCCGTTAGGAGGCGCGGGTTGGTCGGTGGGTTTGGGGTGGTGCGGGTGGGGAGGGTGAATTTTGTGGTCTGGTTGGGGGACGGCGGGGGGAGGAGGTGTGTTGTGAAGGGCATTGTTTCTTGTGTTTGTTGTGGTTTGGGGTTGGTTGAGGAGAAGTTCTGGAGGCCGCGGGTGTTGGGACTTTTTCTTTCGGGGTTGGGGGTTGGAGAGGCTTGGGGTGGTGGAAGTGGGTGTTGCGGACCTGGTGGGTTTTATGCTGAAGAGAAGGGAAATGTGTTGGGAAGATTGTTTGAGGGTGAAGGAGGGTGAGAGTGAGATGAAGTGAGTCAGTGCTGCTGCCCCCCCGTAATCGGGAGAATTGTCTGCAAACTGATAAGTCAAGTCGGATGCAGGTGCGGGCGGAGATGCGGAGCCGAGGTGATAAGGTCGGTCACCTCCGGATTTTGGGCCGGGGTGTGGTTTGGGGTTAGGGTTCTCCGTGGACTTTTCTTCATTATTACCTTTTACCATGGTAATTGCATCTGGTGTATTGAGCTACAGAATCTATCTGGAAAGAGAAAAACTGAATCAGCAGGTCCTTGCGGTCAAGTAGGAACCACATAGGCAATGACAACAACCCGCGGAGTAAGTCCAGTACCGTATACAAACCCCAAACAAACAATGCAAACACCAAAATTTCTCCAGCATCGTCCTTCCTCATCCCAGCACCCTCCATTTTTAATGATCGAGTCAACCCCAGAGCAAAAGAGATGTCCCTCTACTACGACGCGGTGGGCATCCTCACAGGCCCCGCCACCGGCGGCTCCTTCAAATCCCGCCTTTACAACGCCCGCTCCCTCAAGGCCTCGCCCGCGCAGATCTACGCCCTGATCATCGAAGCCTCCAAATGGGATCTCCTCCTCAAAGAGGTTATCGAGAAGGCGGGGATCTTGAAGTTGGAACCTAAGGTAGGACCCCTTCTCTTGCTATGAATTATTTTGCAAATTTGCCGCGCGTGCTTTTCTGTCCTCAGTGTCTGCGACTGTTTACAAGATGAGTATAACTGACGCCACCACTGCAAAAGTTAACCCCCCTCCTCGCCCTCCTTCTCGTCCACGACCACCTCCTCGCCAAATCCGGCATCGCCGCCAAAGCCACCCACCCGCTCCGCCAGGCGATCGAGCGCCACAAGGCCCGCCTGCGCGGGGAGTTCACCAAGGCGCGCGTGCGCCGCGGATGCGCCACCCTCGACGCCCTGCGCGACGCCATCCGCTGCGAGAAGGTCGTCGCTGCCGGCGGGGATCCTGCGGTCGCTGCGACAGCAGTCTACCCGCGCTGGGTGCGGGTCAACAACATGCGGACGACGCTGGCCGAGCAACTCGCCACCACGTTCAAGGGGTATGAGGTTGTGGGGTCGCTGGTGGAGCTTGGGGGCATCGTGTCCAAGAGAGCGGCGCTCACGGCCGGTAAAAAGATCTATCTGGATCGGCATGTACCCGATCTGGTGGCCGTGGCGCAGGGGCTGGATTTGACGGTCACCCCGGCTTATAAGCGCGGGGAGATCATTCTGCAGGATAAGGCGTCGTGTTTTCCGGCGTATTTGCTGGTCGGGGATGGGAGGTGGGAGGGCGGGGAGCTGTTGGATGGGTGTGCCGCCCCGGGGAATAAGACGACGCATATGGCTTCGTTGCTTTGCAAGCATCCCCTTGGGGAGGGGCAGAGGAAGAGGAAGAGGGTGTGGTCTATGGATCAGTCGCAGGTCCGTGCCAAGACGCTCCAGAAGATGGTGGCCACGGCGGGGGCGGATGCTTTGGTGACGGTGTTGCCGGGGCAGGATTTCCTGGCGCTGGATCCGGAAGAGGAGCGCTTCGAGGGCGTGACGGGCTTGCTGCTCGATCCGAGTTGTTCGGGGAGTGGAATTCTGGGGAGAGATGATGTGCCGACGCTGGTTTTGCCGGAGGTGGGTGGTAATGATGGTAGGAATGAGAGGCAGCATGGGAAGAAGAGGAAGCGGAGACAGGATGATGAGGAGGGCCGGGAGGAGAGGAAACTCCTGGATGCAGAGGAGGAGGAGGCCGCGCTGGCGGAGGACGAGGCCGCGCTGGCGGAGGACGAGAACGATCTGCCTGCCAATGGGCACATGGGCCCCGAGCGGCTGCAGAAGCTCTCTAATCTGCAGACGAGGATCGTGGAGCATGCCTTGCACTTTCCGGCGGCGACGAGGGTCTCGTATAGTACGTGCTCGGTGCATATGGTGGAGAACGAGGCGGTCGTGGCCAGGATCCTGGCGTCGGATGTGGCAAAGAGACGCGGGTGGAGGATCATGCGGAGGGATGAGCAGCCGGAGGGGATGCGGGAGTGGAAGCATCGTGGGGTACGGAGTGATAAGCCTGCTGCAGGTGGTGCTGCTCAAGTCGAGGTTGGCGATCTCGGTCTCTCGGATGAGGCGCTGGAGGGTTGTCTGCGCTGTTGGCCTGGTGATGACGAAGGCACCGGCGGCTTCTTCATTGCAGGGTTTGTGCGCGATGGAGACGATGAGGTCGTGGCTGAGGCTGAAAGCGCCAATGGCCATGTCGAGGACGATCAAGTGCAGCAAGACAGTGATGCACAAGATCCCGACGAGTCGGATTCAGATGATGAGGCTCAAGATGACGAAAACGAAGACAACAGCGAGGATGAATGGGCGGGCTTCTCTGATTAGATGTATATAGGAGCTCTAACTACCTCATCCAGATATGTACAGTGCAGATAATCATAGTACCTCATGCAATCGCCGAGGACCCTAAGAATGGTCGACTCCGATTGCGCACGGTCTCCTGGGTATATACATCCAACTGGACCGCCCTCAGAAGAAAGTCCAGACTACCCTGATTCACGCTGGGCCGCACGCAGATCCGCCATTGGCCGTTGCGCACGACCCAGACCCGGCTGTTGGAGGGCTCCTCCACTCGTCTCCGCTTGTTTGGGGTCTCCTGCGACGAATTGTCTGCGGCGCCTGGGGTCGAGTACCCTACAACATCCCGGTAACTCGTCTGCTCCCCATCTACCGTCAGACTCGTATCGGGGCCCGTCACGAACCAGATCTGCTCGTCCTTGATCGCGACGTCGCCCAAATCCGCGAGCTTCTTGCTCGCCACGATCTGCAGCAGACTCGTCACCCGGGATTTGGTGAGATTCAGGAAGGTAGGGTGTTTGGTGGTCAGGTCGAGGATGGTGCTCTCGTCGCCGATTTCGACGATCAGGTCGTATTTCTTCTCATCGAGGAACGGCCGCGAGTACCGCACCCAGCTGCTGTCGCAGGCATTGGCGCCCTGTTCGAGGTGGACCCCGGACCGGCGCACGTCCTCGAGCCGGATGATGATCTCGTCGCGCCCCAGGATCGGATTGAAGCTGATGTGGTGGGGGATGATCTTCTGCTCCAGGCCGCGCAGGTGGAAGTAGCGACAGTCCCGCAGGAGCTCCGCGCGGTGCTCCTCGTTTCGGATTCGCAGGGGGTAGCCCCGCAGGAGGTGGAGAAGCTGCGCGAAGACTTCCCCGGAACGGTTCGGTACGCTGGGGGGTGTGATGGCCGGGGGCCGGAGGAGGCCGTGGCGTTCGAGTCCTGGGAACACTTCGACGGGCGACGCGAAGAAGGCGGCGAACCCCAACGTGAAGAAATTCGGCGAGTCGCCTGGACCGGAGAAGATGTCGCGGGGAATCTGGAAGTTGCGATCGCCGATCTGGATGAAGATTTGTGACTCGAATAGCTGGGAGATTAAACGTGGTACTGCGACCGTTAGCATGTGGATATCTCCAAACCAGGGAGTGGGCCGACGCACAGCTATAGAATTGAGCATCGGCGAAGAACTTGACAAATTGGGACCCGTCTGTGGGCTGAATGTGGTATCCTATCCTCCGCAACCAGTCAATATCTGCGCAGTCGCAATCACGTTAAGTATCGGTCCTACCCTGCAAATGTTTGGCGATCTCTTTAAACGTGGTCGGGTCGCGATCGATGTACAGGGTGCGGATGTTGGGATTGTCGCCGTTTTGGCGGATTTGTTCTTCGAAGAACTGGGAGAAGTAGGATGGAGCTTCGGACGTTTAGAGAGGATTTCGTGAGTTGGGGACTATCTGGCAGACTGACCATCAGACGCAATGGATGCCCCAGACAGACGAAATAGCTCCGTCCCGATCTGTATGGAGAAGACCCTCTCGGGCGGGAGGTTGGATTTGGGGCTGCGCCGCATCGACGGGCTGATCATTGCCCGCCCAGAGTCGCTCGACATTGTAGCCTTTTGTTGTTGTATGGGTTGAGCTTGCAGAAGAGTTGTAGAATGCCGGGGATTCTGGGAGGGATGGATCTTTGGACGCGATAAGGGACGTGGTCATCGGCGGGGATGGATAGGTGGGCACGAATTGCAATTGTCGGGTCGGGGCAATTGCGCAGATCGGTCGCACGGTGCAGAAGAGGCGCAAGAAAGGTCAAGAGTTTGAAGGAAATATGCGTTGAATCGCAGGATCACATCATGGCTAGTGAAACATTGGCAGGTGAGAGGCTAATCGCATGGCATGGCATGGCATGGCATTTTGGGTGAGATTGTGAGATTGCGATCGCAGACAAACGGTGCAAACCACGGTAATTGGGGGTGGGGCGGACGATTCCCCATTGAGCTTAGTTTAAATCAACCTCGGTTCTTGTCCGGGGAAGAATTGAATTCTTCGATTGGTATGTACTTCCATCATTGATGTGGATCTATGTGAAAAGTCGGCAAGAATAACTACCTAATAGAAGATGGCAACGCTCGCACAACTGCCAGTCCATCTGCACCTACTAGTTACCCTTCAGCAATGGAAAGTCTCCCTATGGTTAGGGATTTAGAACTCTGGGTTCTTTGGCCCCTGAAGTGACTGAGACTCGAGTCAGATCGATCAAGCGAATCCATCAAGGATAGATGGAGTACAGCGGGCGAAGTAGAGCACTACCTAGGCAATCTATGTGTGTATACGGTGGATACGGTATGTACGTAGGCCAGTCACGGGCTCGGGAACTCTAACTTAGCGGTTCATGCGGAGGATGAACCACTCAACCACTCATCCATCATGGTTCAGATTCTCTCAGATATCTCGACCTGATAAGCTCACTCTCACCCATGGCACACATACGAACCCGGACTTCAGTTCGCATTGCAAAACCCCGGAATCCCCGTCCAGACCCAGCCGAGGTCCCGCGGCTTCGCGCGGGGGTGGATGGATCTGTCTGCCTTAAACCTCGCCCGTCCATAGCGCAACGCTCTGATGGACCTTCTTCTCGGCATTCAGCTCAATTCACGTGGTGTCATTGCATTAACTCGGCTTTATCAGTTTCCCCGCATTCAAGAGCACCAGAGTTTCATTCTCACATCGTTAGTATGGGTCCGCATGTCGATCGTATACAGCCGACCCACTCGCTCCCTCCTTCAAGTTCCCACTTCCCACCCACCACTCGCTCGAAATTGTCGGCCCATTTTCTAGCTCTGGCCCTTAGACTTAATTATGGAGCCTTGGGATTGCTCTAGGAAGAGCTCTTATTGCTCGGTAGTACCTGAGCCCGAACCTCGACCTCGGACGCCGTGGACACATTCCACTCTCCTTCCTTGAAAGACCCCCCTCTTCCTTCCGCCTCGTTCCTACTCCTTTGGTGCCACTTGCCGTTTCCAAAGTAGCAAGCGAAGGAAGCCACGCTGAGGGCCCAGAAGCCTTAAACACCAGTCTCAAGTTCTTGTCTTCAACGATCCTGACTTCTGTCACCACCATACACCTTGCGTGTTCTTCTATCGCCATCTGACTATCTCTATAACTCATCGTTATTCCTCTACCATTCTCCTAATCAAACACATGACGACCGCACAACCATCACCATGGCTGCTGAGAACACAGAGCAACGTGTCCCACTGGATGTTGCCCTTCCTGCTGTACCCACTCGAGCGGTTTTCACCTCGACACAATGGAGGACCCTTCTGGCTCTAGCTGACACCGTGATTCCGTCCATCCGCTCCCCTGTCGCCTACAAGTCCAAGGCGACCAAGATTGTTACATCCCAGGAGATGGAGCGAGCTCGTACAACCCTAACCTCCAAGATCCCTGGTCCTGATGCGGCTACGATTGCCGGTCAGTATCTCCGGGAGTCTGCCTCCTCTAATAACACGTTTCGGGAGGGACTGCAGCGTCTATTCTCGGTCTATGTCCACGACGAGGGATTGAACGGCATTAAGTTTATTCTGAATGCCCTGAAGTATGTATCATCGGCGTCCGAAAGGCTCGTGAGCTAACACGTTCTACAGTACACGGCCTGGCTCCCTCCTTCTGACAGGATCAGTGGTCCTGATTCGAGACCAGCCTGTGGACGTGCGCGAAGCCATCTTTCGCAGCTGGGAGACCGCCCGAATTAAACCACTTCGAGCTATCTACCGGGCTCTATCCACCATCTTCAAGAAGACTTGGATTACATTTAGCCCAACGCTCAACCTAGCCATCGGTTTTCCTCGGGTTCCAGTCCATGGGAAACCTGCGGATGGCTTCAAGTATGAGTTCTTGCAGTTCCCTCCGAGTGAGGATCTTGAAATCATCGAAACAGACGTTGTCATTGTCGGGAGTGGCTGTGGTGGGAGTGTTGCGGCGAAGAATCTCACCGAGGCGGGATACAAGGTGATTGTTGTGGATAAGTCGTATTACTACTCGTCTGACCACTTTCCAATGGCCGCAAACGAGGGTTTTATCAGCATGTTTGAGGGAGGAGGCGGCATCGTCACTGACGACGGATGTACGGCTATTCTGGCAGGGTCCACCTGGGGTGGCGGTGGCACAGTCAACTGGTCCGCTGCGTTGCAGACACAAGGATACGTGCGTGAGGAGTGGGCGAACAATGGACTTCCATTCTTCACTAGCCAAGAGTATCAAAAGTGCTTGGATCGTGTCTGCGACCGGATGGGTGTGGGGAGTGATCATACCGAGCACAACAAAGCCAATCGCCTCATCCTCGAGGGAGCTCGCCGATTGGGCTATTCCGCTAAGTCGGTGCCCCAGAACACAGGTCATGGCCCGCATTACTGCGGCTACTGTACTCTGGGCTGCCACACATGTGGGAAGAAAGGTCCCACGGAGACATTCCTCGCCGACGCCTCTCGGGGAGGGGCTACGTTCATCGAAGGACTCCGCGCGGACAAGATTTTGTTCGAAGAAAAGCCATATGGAACGGTGGCTTCGGGCGTGGAGGGGACTTGGACCTCAAGAGATTCGTACCTGGGGGCGTCGGGTATTGGTGCGGTAAAGCGAAAAGTGGTCATCAATGCAAAACGCGTGGTAGTGTCCTGTGGGTCCTTGCAAAGCCCTCTGCTTCTCAAGCGGAGTGGGCTGAAGAACTCACAAATCGGTCGCAATCTTCACCTTCATCCCGGTATGCTATTATTCATTGAGGGTTTCTCGGAAGGCTAGCTAACTTGTACTTCCAGTGATTGTTGCGGGTGCCGTCCTCAATGAAGAGGTTCGACCTTGGGAAGGATCTGCACTGACTACTGTCGTCAACGAATTCGAGAATCTCGATCGAAAAGGCTACGGCGTCAAGATTGAAGCCCTGTCCATGCTGCCTTCCGCCTACCTTCCCCTCTTCCCTTGGCGTGGCGGACTCGACTATAAGATGTGGGTGCTTAATTTGCCCCGCACGGTTGGGTTCATCACACTCACTCGGGACCGAGACGGTGGACGAGTGTACCCGGATCCGGTTGATGGGAGATGTCGCATTGACTATACGGTGTCTGCCTACGACCGTAAGCATATGCTTGAGGCACTTGCTGGCACTGCCAAGATTGCTTTCGTTGCTGGCGCCAAGGAATTCCATACGACCTGGCGAGAGTTGACTCCATACATCCGACCTGAGATGACACCTTCTGAAGCTGCGGAAGGCACCAACAACGCGTCCTTCCAAGCGTGGCTTGCTGATATGCGCGCTCATAAGGTCCCATTTGAGCCCGAGCGGACACAGTTTGCCAGCGCCCACCAGATGGGAACTTGTCGGATGGGTGTTAGTCCCAAGACCAGTGTGGTTGACCCGGACTGTCAAGTGTGGGGGACTCAGGGCTTGTATGTGGTGGATGCATCAGTGTTCCCTAGTGCCAGCGGTGTCAATCCCATGATCACTAATATGGCGATCGCTGACTGGGCTAGTCGGAACATTGCCAAATCCCTGGGAGACAGTCGTGAGACGCACCCGATGGCCCGGCTGTAGCTGAAGTGACCTCTGTTATATGGGACTGGCTTGCGGATCAGCGTGTGTGTTCTTGGGGCTGGACCCTGCTTTATTCTTATGTTTCAAGTTTTTATAACCGTTGCATAAAAGGTAAAGCTCAGTGTTGACTTTGCAAACCTATTCTCAAGTGACAAGCCGCGTGGTGGTGTCCTAGAGTTTCATGTACATGTTATGAATGAGAAGTTCTTTCTCTCCGGACAGTCCAACGCTTGCTAGCGAAAGGTATATCTCGTAATCTACTGGTAGTACTTAGGATGCTTAAGCGTGCAGGAGGAGACGGGAAGTCGGACAGAACCGGATACATTGCAGTTGAGGGCTCTTCTGAAAGTGATCCAAACAACGGGGAAGCGATAGTCTATCGATGGTCAGTGTGAAGGCTATGACAAGGCAACGCTCACCTCATCTCTTCACTTCACTCTCTCATGCTCACCTCCACATCTCCACCTTTTTCTGTATTTACTGTTTTTCTTCCTTACCTCTACAAGTACAACCAACTATGCCCCACCAGCAAATGCCTGCGTCCTACCCAGGAGACACCTGCACGATGATCACATCGACAGATGAGTTTGTGTTTGCTGACTCTGCCTATGAGTCCGATTCAGGATCCCAGGGTTCGAACAAGCACACTCGCGGGGCTACGCGTGCTCGCTTCTGCCCAGACAAAACCACCTGGACTGGCTGTCTCTGGCGGCTGTTGACTTGTATCGTCTCTGTGCTGTTTTCTCTATTCTGGCTGCTCTTATGCAAGAACCAACTCGCTCCTCAGAGCTGGTAGGGTCTATTTTCTGGTTTCGAGGAACTCGCTAATGCGTCATGAAAGGAATAGCTCGCGCCCCCAGATCGTCCTCAACCGCGAGACATCCCGAAGAATCCTGACCCCTGTTTTTCTGTTGCTCGCAGCCTCGCAAGCGGGGCAGGGAGAATTTCTGACTGGCAGGGTTACTGTGTGTGAAGATTTTGGGGTTGATCTTGCTCGGATCCTGAACGAATACAACCAGAAGCCTATACCGCTCGACACGACGCATCACTTATGTGTGCAGATCGACGCCGTCTTACGGACGCTGGGCCGCAGCAAGAATAAGTGAGTTGCATCCATCTTCCATCTTCAGATTACAGTAACAACCCCCCTAACATCTTCGCGTCATGCAGAATCGCCTACACCCTCGCCACCGCCATCCTCGTCAAATCCACCTGCTCCCTCCTGCATCTCGACCAATGCTGGGACGTCGCCGGCCTCCTGAGCTCGATCGTGGCCATCCTCCTCGCCGCAGCCGCCGACTACTCCGCCATGGACGAGGCCACCGCTGCCGAACTAGTGGACATGCACCCCACAACATACAAGGACATCATGGCCCACGCGCTCCGGGACCGCGGTCTGGGGTATTCTTCTATCCTCCCGGTGGCGGTCCCCTGCACGGGCAACGGTGGTGGCAGCGGAGTCCTCAGCGCAGACGACAAGCTTGAGGATTTCGTGATCCAGGATTTCGTCGCGTCCGGCACCACCGCCGCGGTGCAGGATATCCACGTCACCTGGTACCGCAACAGCCGGACGGTGGTGCGGCTCCTGCCGCTGGGCCAGCAGGATACGCGGACCACCTCCGGGGAGGCGCAGGCGTTTCGGTTCTTCGATGGCGTCGGCTATCTCGTGTCGTTTGGGACGGGGTATCTGGCGGAGCTTAGTATGGAGGAGGAGGATGAGATGGTCGGGGGGATTGTGCGGGCGTGGGAGGAGGGGATGTTTATGGATGAGAGGATGGTGCTGGGGGTGAGCTCGATTGAGAAGGGGGTGGAGTATGTGAGTTTGTATGTTGATGTTGATGTTGCTGCTGAGGATGAGGCGGTTGAGATCAAGGGGTCGTTGGATGGGTTTCTGTAGCTGTTTACTCTTGTAGGTAGGATAGGTGAAGTGTGCATTTAGCTGGGTATCTAACTCTGAATTGACTCGACATCCTCCCCACCAGTTGAATTTGATACCAAACTCAACCTCCCGATTCGTCATGAGAGACATGCGACTACAAACACCCCTCACACCCCAAATCCCTCCCCATGCGCATCCCGATACTCTGCTCCTCCTCCCATCCAACCGGCAAATGCTGCTGCGATCCCCGCCTTTGATCTGCTGGGGACGACGGAACCACCCGCCTCAACCCTCGACACCGCCCACAGAACACCATCCACACCCCTTGCACGCGCACCAGATCCCCATATCCGTACCGCGCTTCGCCGCGCGGTGCTTGTGCGTGTGCTTGTGCCGGACCTTCAGCTTGCCGTCCTCCACCATTCTCCCGGACCCCCAGGTCCCCATCTCGAGGACAGACCCCACACTCCAAACAGAACCGCTTCGCGCGCTCCCGCTCCGCCCCGAACCGGCCTCGGCCCCGCCGCACCATCCGGTCCGCGAAGTGCGTCGCCCGCCGTAGCCGCAGACAGTACCGGCAGGCGTAGAGATCGTGGGCGATGGCGAGGGGGTCGAGTTCTGCGGCGAGGAGCTCGGGGTGCGTGGGGTGGGGGAGGAGGGCGTGGAAGTAGTGGTTTGTTTGGGCGAGGTGGGTCCGCGAGAGGTCGGGGGGAGCCGGGAGGTGCGTGGCGATTTGGAGGTGGAGTTCCGGGGGGAGTTTGCTCATAGTCATGGGGTAGTTTGGGTTGGGTAGGCTGTGTTTTGTAGACTGTATATTGTAGACTGTGTGTTGTAGACTGTGTGTTGTAGACTGTGGAGGTGGAGGTGTAGGTGTAGTTGTAGTGGTTGCTTGGGAGAGGGTTGTTTGTTGGGGTATAGTGATGTGATGTCATTTGCGTAGGGTGAGGGGTTCTTGACACGTGCTTTGTTGTGCTCGTCTACGGGGTATGTTTACCGGGTTAAAAGCTTCAGGGGTTTGGGAAAAGTGAATTCAATTCATTAGGTACCTAAGTTGATAAGCTCATACTCAGTAACGTTACTAGTCCTGTCGCGCTGGATCCTGCTCGGGCGCATTCCGCAGATACTCATCGATCTCCGCCATCACCTCCGGCGTCAACCGCGGCAGCAGCTTCAGACTCTCCACATTGTCCACGATCTGCTCCGGCCGCGACGCCCCCGTGATCACCGACGAGACGTTCTCGTTCTTTAGGCACCACGCCAGCGCCAGCTGCGACAGCTTCACGCCCATCTTGTCCGCCAGCCCCTGCAGCCCCTGCACCGTCCGGATCGTGCCCGCCCACTCGTTCTCCCACTCGCTGCGCACGTAGTTGGCGTACTTGTCGTTGCTCTCGGCGAACCGCGACCCCGGCGGCGGCTGCGTCGTGGCCTCGTTGTACTTGCCGCTCAGCAGGCCCATCTTCAGCGGCGAGAACACGGTCAGCCCGATCCCGCAGCGCGCGTACAGCCGCTGGAACTGGCCCTCGACCTTCTGGCGCGTCAGCATGTTGTACTGCGGCTGCTCGACAACGGGCGCGATCAGCCCCAGCGCCCGCGCGATCCCGCACGCCTCGCTGATCTCGTCCGCCGACCACTCCGACGTGCCCCAGTAGAACGCCCACCCCTTCTCGATCACGTGGTTGAACGCCCGCACCGTCTCCTCCATCGGCGTCAGCCGGTCCGGCCGGTGCGCGTAGATGATGTCCACGTACTCCAGCTGCAGCCGCTCCAGGGACGCCCGCGTCCCCTCCACGATGTGTTTCCGGGAGAGGCCATGGTTGTTGATCAGGATCTCGCCGTTGGCGAGGCCCCAGTTTAGCTGTCCACCGGCCACTAGACGTTAGCGGATGGTTCCTTTGTCGCTGATAGTAGTATGTAGTCGTGGCAAGGAACGGAGCGGACGCACCTTGGTGCTGATGACGAGATCGCTGCGCTTCCAGCCGAATTTCTTGATCGCTTGGCCCATGACGATCTCGGATTGACCGCCCGCGTAGCTGCGCTTGATTAGCTTGCGTCTTGTGATTTGCGGCCGGGAGGGAAAGGGCTACCTCTCCGCGGTGTCGAAGAAGTTGATCCCACAGTCGTAGGCTTGCTTCATGCATTGGAAGGTGATTTCTGTCAAGCCCCGTTGTTAGTCCCGCTGTCCAGCACTTGAGGTTCGACTCAAGAAGTAGTACCATTATCCACGTGGCCTCCGAAACTGCCAACAAGTCAAAACATCAGTAAGATTGTCCTGCTCCGACGGTCATGCAGCAACTCACGTCAACCATCCTCCCAACCCCAGCGCGGAGACATGCAGCCCGGAGTTGCCTACCCGGCGGTAGAGCATGTCTTTGTTCTTGTTCGGCCACGCCATGGTGTACAGTACACTACTTTGTTGATGCAGAAAGAGAGAGAATTGTCCAACTCAGTAGGCAAACCCCCGCGCGAAGAGGGGGGGGGGGCTGCGGTACCAATTTATCTGTACCTAGTTCGACTGCGATGGGCCATTGCGTGCGCTGGAATCCCTCAGGGTATCGGCCATTGGTCTGCCGATAGTTGCACAACTGCAGCGGTGGAGCCTGTGAGTCCAATCACACTGACATATGCAGAGGGCAGCATGAGGCGCAAGAGGCGTCGGAGGTTTGCTCGGAGGGTCTCGTTGTTTAGTTTGGGGGAAGAGAGTTCTAGACCCACCCGGGTTTAGTGGGGGTGCATGGCCCAGAAGGGATTAGTTGGGTTATGTCTGTCTTTGCCGTGCGTGATACATAAGGTCTTTGTGGAAGCTTTAGGCTGGCTTCTTGGATTTACGTTGCTTGCTACGGTCATACGCCGTTGATTCCTCTTTCTCGGTAGAAAGGAAAGCGTGCGCGTTTCATGAATATCTGATTTCGAGGGGTCACGCAGAGACCCATGCTGACAAATACTATACTCTAGTAACCTACCCTCGCTTACTCGGACATGCATGAGGGCCTGAGAAAATGCAGTATGGTCGAAGTGGACAATCCTGGAGCCATAACAGACGGAATAAATGCTTCTTGCCCTTGTCAACTGCATCACTGACACGGAGATGCCATGAGGAAGATAATGACACCAATGTCTTCGCAAATTGGCATGCATCGGTCATGGAAACGGTTCTCTGCTGTGTCAGAGGTGTCGCCAGGATAGACCGGCAGCATATCTCCGCATGTCTCTCAATCTCTGGCTACATCATTCTCTTGGCGGGAATTGTATACAGTGCCACTGGTTCGCCTGGATTTTTTGAGATTTCTGACACTTCTTCAGTCTGGGCCAGATCGTCAGAAACCGCCTTACTTGACTGTCCTTCAAGCTGGAAGGAGGGGCAAACACATTTCTCCAGGATGGAAAAAAGCAAAGATGGAAAAACTGAGTCATAGAAAATCAGGGACTCGAAAGGTATAAGCACCAAGCAAGCTGAAAGACGGTCAGGATATAATGATATAATTCCTTCTTCTTAGACTAAGAATACGATTATGTTAGTGGCATGTAAACAGCTGTGGTTTCGGTTCGTTTACATACCTGTTCTTGGTTCTAGTTACGTTGCTTATCATATTGGGCACTTGTGATCCAGGTCTGAGTTGAATCCTAGACCGTGGAGACATTTCTGTAAGCAGTACTCGCGGTTTGGTCACCTGCTCTGACTAGGAGGGTCGGTCTTATGAAACCGTCGATTGTCACGTACACTGCCGCATTCTCTGGTCGATACTTGACAAAGAGGAAATAGGAGACGTGCCAAACAGCCGGTGGATTTAGCTGTTCTCGCCCAGGTCTGCGCGTTGCCTCTCATGCTGCAGCAAGCGCCTTTAAAAAGCTCCATGCTTAGTGAGAAGGGGACAAGCGAGAGATGAGAGATGGGGAAAGACTTCGAAATTCCATGACGACAGATACATTCAAATCATGACGCTTGACTGTTGTGTTATCTGAGGCCAATGTTGCGGAGTAAGTGGGATTACCTGGGGTAGTCTTGGGGGGATAGGGTTTGCAAGGTTTGCATCTCGATCACGAGCTGTGCACACTGCTGGCACAGTGTCTACATCTTCAAATTTGCTCATTACTCATACCTCCGGTACTGGTTTCCGAATAGCATCGCATCGATGCTTACATCGACGCTGTGTTAACATCTCACCTGTTCCTCGAAGTGCACCTAGTGGGTCCATGCAATGGCGTGCCCCATGGAGTCGAAGGCGCAATCGTCTGCCTGCCCCTTATCGATTGCCGGCCGTTGGATCCATCCATCACTTTTGTCAACAATCACCTTGCGATCGATGAAACCGTGGACGGTGGACACAATCCCATTGCCACGGTCATCGGCTACCAAGCAGAAGGGCTACGCCGATCGGGATTTACCGCGATCGCACAAGGCCTCGCCTCGCTTCGAGCTGCATCTGCCAAGCAACCTCTCATGGCTTGCCCCGCAAAAACGTCGACATGATCTCTCGGCCGTCAACATTGTGACAATTCCTCGTCCGTGCCACCTGCTACGACCCCAAGATTTCTGGCTGGGTCATGCATTCGACTCGAATCGTGCCTGATGCATGCGACTGCAACCGCAACTGCCACGGCACCCACAAGCAAAATGTCTTCTAGAGCCGGAATCACCAAGAAGGCCTGTGATGGATGCAAGATCCGAAAGATCAAATGCGGCGGGGGGCAGCCATGTCAGTCCTGCTTCAATGCGCGCATCAAGTGCACCTATATCCGTGTGCAGCAGCCTCGCGGTCCTCAGAAACTGCGCGCGACCACCAAATTCCTCATCGATCAAGCGCAAAGAGGCTTGGAATTGCAGAATGCACTACCCTCGGCTCCAGTGAGAGGGGAAGTGCTCGAAGCCGACCACGCGCTTCGCAACCCCGCAATGTGCGAAACCCAACACAGCTCGAGGTATGCTTGCCTTTTGCATCCAAGCGCATCGCATTTATTTCGCTGCTTTGCGTTTCGCAGTACTACCGACGTACGACAAAGTCTAATACTTTAATCATGTGAGCATCTAGATCTCGAATTCCGATCAATGTCCTCGCATCCCCGCTGTACATCTATCATGTTCGCATGTATCCGGTCTGGCCTATTGTCGATGTCGAAAAGCTCCTGGCGACCTTGCAGCAGGATGTAGAGGAGAAGGAGCATGAAACGTACGCCCTTGCAACTGCAGTAGCTGCCGCCACCATCGCCCAGTTACGGCTTGGACAAAATTCAGAGCCGGAAAAATCTCTGAGTGCGGAGAACCTTGCGCTCGAGAGCATGCGAGCACGACGGCTGTACGACTATCGCTCGAGGCTCAATCTAAACAATGTGCGCACCGCTTTTTTTCTGCATGTCTACTACGAGAACCAACAGTCGGGGGCGACTGAGTCGTTACTCTATCTGCGAGAAGCTATCACCTTGGCACAAATGATGTCCCTCCACCGAGAAGCTTCGTATATGGGACTTCCAGCGGAGGAGCAACAGCTGCGTCGGCGCGTGCTATGGTTGCTATTCGTCACAGAACGGTGAGATTTCCCAGCATCCCCAAACGAACTGTGTCTGATTTCTATGCAGGGGAGTCTGCATCCTCCACAAGTTACCCGTTATTCTGAAAACGAACGTCTCCACTCCAGCACTCGACACGAGCGATGAACCACAAGTTCTCCCCGCTTTCCTCAAATTGCTCAACCTTTTTCGCTTGTTTGAGCAGTCCCGGATGTTCGATCTCATTGAAGACGACAACGTCGGAAGAGACACGATTTCGGATGAGGTGCAGGGCGTGGATGCAAGATTTTTACGGCTGCTGCAGGAGAATCTTCAGGACGGATCAGCATTATTAGACCACATATCGGATGTACAAAAGGCCGACCTGTGCGTGACGCGACACTGGATGCGGATGATACTCTGGAAGTTCTCTTTCAAGCAGGGTTTGCAGGGTTCACCTTCGTCCCAATGGCCGAACTCTCCTTCGTTCCCCGTGTTAGTAGCGAAGGAGCTCCTGAACATAGTCTCCCAGCTTCCACGAACGGCGATTGAAGCCCACGGCCTCGGTATGGTATGTGCAGTACATCCACCGACATCTAGAGCAGGGTCACTAAAACATCCGCAGGAACTCAAGCTCTATGAGATCGCCAGCTCACTAGCTGACGCCGTAATCAATCTGGCCATGCTGCCGCGAGCCCCAGTCTGGGATGGCGAAAGCCGCCCCAGCAGCATCCTGGCTCGACTCCACTCGATTCTCTCCACCTTCCGCGGCGGCGGCAATAAAGAACTAGCGGAGCTACTGTATAAGAAAATGGCGGATGCGCAGTCTAGCAGTGGACCTGCATTACCGCCGCCGATACGCGACGTCCACACGCCAGTCAGACGTAAAGCCACCCCCCGCGCAGACACCAACGGTGGGGACAGCCCAGCCGCCGAACTGCCTGCATCGACCCTAGAAGGCGTCCTCACGAGTACTGCCGATCCCACGGCTCCAAACACCGTGGCTGATTGGACCGCCGCGGACGACCTCTACCAAGCTACTACCACTACTGCGTTTCAGACCCCTGACCACAACCGTGCTCCTCACGGCGTGATGCCGGAGGAGCCAAGCGACATTAGTGCCCAGCACGCTCTCCACTCCTTAGGAGACCTGGCGCCCTCTAACTTGTTTGGGCCGTCCTTCTCCGCGGGACTGGGCTATGCAGCTGCCGCGGCCGCGGCCGCGTACGCCTACGACCCATACCTAGTCGGCATCCCCAACGCCCAATCTCCGCTGCTATTGGAGGAGGGCAGAGAGCCACGACTGGGCGGGGGTCCCTCGTGGTCCCCGTCTCTGCCGTCGGAGTCGGTGGAGATGTGGGTAGGCGATTTCATGGCTCAAACCGGCGGCGGGGCGATTCAGTCTGTGCCGTCGGAGCATTACTTCTGCATGACCGAGGACTACTTGCCGGAGCCACCACCCTTGTCGAGTCCAAGCTTTCCAGCTTGAGTTTTGCCATATGTATATTCCTCGAACCCGTATAACAACGAATGACACGTATATCATGAGTTAATAGAAGATGAAACAAAAACTCCCAATTCGCTTTCTCATTAGTCAGTAACAACAACCAGGGAAATCAGAAAGAAACCTTTGGAACTTATACAATCAGATCAAACCATCCCCCCTCAGCAGATTAATAATCCCAAGCAAGAAGCAGTCTTCCCGACACAAAGCAAACAAGCTTCCAAACACAGGATCTATACCCAGCTGCGCTGTGGCTAGTATTTGAACCGGAAATCAAGCCGCTTGTTCCCTTCGCGCTCGCGCGCCGCCGTGTCCGCCTGGTAGAGCACGCGCTCCTCGGCCGACATGAGGGCCCACTTGCGCTCCTTCTGCCGGTTGAGGTGGCGGAGGTACTCGCGCTGGGCCACGAAGACGGCCATGGAGAAGACGCAGAGGGCGACCAGGACCTTGTCGCCGGTGTAGTAGTAGGGGGAGTCGTTGGAGCGGTAGATTTCTATGCCAGCCACAGTCATTAGCAAGAGTTCCGTACCCAGTATCGCACTCGTTTCAGGAAGGAGGTTTTTTTTTTCTGCGCCTCTTTTTCTTTTACTGAAAGGAACAACTCACGCGACGAAACAATCGACCCGACCTGCACGATAACATTGTACGTGGCGGCGGTGATGGCGCGCTTCTTCACGTCGAAGGTATTCTCGGAGATCCAGGCGGAGACGATCGGGTGGAAGTAGGGGTACCCCGAGATCAGCGTGGTGATGGTGAAGCGGGCCCAGTTGTAGCCGCCCGCCGGCAGGCACAGCAGGGCGATCAGCAGCGGCAGGGACCAGAATTCCCCGAACAGGCTGTGCCAGGTCCGGTCGCCGAAGTACTCGCTGCTCTTGCACAGGGTCAGCATCAGGATGATCTGCAGCGCCGCGGAGGGGATCGAGAGCATGTTGGACTCGAAGGTGGTGAAGCCCAGGCGCTTCAGGGTCAGGGAGAGGTAGCTGGAGACCGGGCTTTGGGGGATGTAGGCCGCTAGGCCGATCAGATATAGACCCCACATGGAGGGGTCTTTCCAGGCGGAGATGATGTCGTGCAGGGTCGCGGATTCGTTGATGTGCGTTAGGCCTTTGGAGGGGTCGTCGCGGAGGAGGCGCTTGGGGTGGTTTAGTGGGGTTTTTTTTCTTGGGGGAGGGGTGGGACGTACGTTGATCATGATTACTTCTTCACGTTCGGTGTACCAGTTTCTCGGGCAGAGGAGGCTGCTCGTGTTGGTGGGCGAGCTGGGGAGGTAGAAGAGGCTCTGTTTGTGGGGTTAGTTGTTCGGTTTCTGTTTGTGGGCGTTGTGGGTTTGGGAAAGAAAAGGAAAGGAATGCGTACGAGGAATCCGATGGCAAAGGTGATGAGGCCGTCGATCAGGAAAAGCCAGAACCAGCCCGGTTTGCCCTGCACGCCACGCATCTCGAGAATACCCGCCGCCAGCAGCGACGAAATGATACGGGCAACCTAGTTCCGCGGTTAGTTGAGTTGCATTCGAATGTGAGTTACGGTTCGGTTCGTACGTTGAGCGTGGACCAGAAGAATCCCAGGCGCACGGAGAGCTCCTTCGTCTTGTAGAAATAGGTCGCGAACAAGATGGTGCCGGGGATGAAACCACCTTCAAAAGCCCCGATGAGTGCGCGCGTCACGTAGAAGGCAGCCCGGTTGGTCATCCATGCTTGCGCCCAGGATACAGTACTCCAGCAAATCATCATCACGGGGAGAACCCGCTTGAACCCGTATCTCTTGATGAGCAGCTGGACGGGAAACTCTGCGGACAAGAAGCACACCAATTGGATAGTGGTTCCCTGCAGAAATTAGAAAGGTGTGTCTGTATGCTGGGGCGTGTAGGCTCTCACATTGTTGTAGTCGTTACTCGACATGTTCAGATCGACCAGTAGGTTGTCCGTCAGCGCATTTGATAAGTTGCCACGGTCGAGTTGGAGACCAAAGAACTATTCATGTCAGCATCCACCCGCCATCTGATGGATATTGCAGCAAACGTACCATGACACAGAGAGCCGTGAGTAGATACAGATCGGTCTTCCAGATCACTCGTCTCTCCTCTTGTTCGGTCCAGGTAGCGGTGGGATCGAATCGGTGAAAGCCTTCATACGACTCATGGGGAGGCACGACGCCAGCGAGGTGTTCCTGTCCGACCTCGATCGACACCTTCGAGGACTGAGTGTCTTCGACATCGTGGGCTTTGATGGAGGAGCCCTTGAACCCCGTTTCGATGTCCGTCATGATGATGTCTCTCTGACAGGCCACGCCTTGCTGCTAAGAACGCAGAATCTCAAGGGACTCGAGATAATGGGCGGGGACAAAATACCTCTAGGGCTGGATGGTCTTCCATGACCAAGGACTTATATACCATCGAAGTTCGTGGCGTTGGATAAAGGATAATTAATTCTCTGATGTCGTTATTCGCAATGGCCATCGACAACGGGCCTTTGCTTGAGCCAACCACAGACATGGCGTTATTGTTACAGCCGTGTGTATGCATGCCCTGAATCCAGAATCGGACTAAGAGAATTGCACAAAACGGATCGCCGAGCACATCATCGCCGCCAGGGAGCCCCAGGCGGTGCGCTAGCCACTTTTCTCGCGGAAAACCAAAGCTTTTCGCCAATAGCCTCTTTCTCCGTCAGATTCCGAGGGCAAGAAGAATAGAGCTGGGCTGAAGAAATTGAAATAAATAAATGAATGAATGTTAAAACGGTGTACATTTGTTGAGGCGAACCGTTGAACCCCACAGTTCACGGTGGTCGGTTGAAGAGGTTCTTGGGCGTAGGTTTCCCCGGATATTCCTTTTGCTTGTACGTTAAGTTGTTAACGCACTGTCACCGTAGCCATTCCCAATTGTTATCTGAGCGTGGTCTGCCATGCTCCCCAGGTTTCGGAGTATTGCTGTTTGTAGATGAAGCACATGCACACCATTTCGAACGGCGGACTCCGTTGACAGCTTCTATTCGCTGATGATGGTGGTGGTGTTTGGCGAGACTAAGAAATGCCAGAACACGGACCAAAAAGCCCTCCGAGAATTTCGCCGACGCCCCGCCGACAGCCATCCCGTTGGCCGCTGATTGGCATCACCCAGAGGCAAACCAATCGGGCATGATTAATGCGGGGAAACATGAGGGCGATGGGCCCACGAGGGACTTGACTCGTATGTGCACTATGTGGCCCTGGAACCGTACGGAATATGCGACGAGGAGACTCCGCGGAAGATAACTAGCCAGTGCCTGTAAGGGAGGGTTCGCGTCGCGAGGTTGACGGGTTGTCGCCATTCGCACTGCATGACCCGTAGCCCTCCACCACGGTGGGGACGAGTCGTTGACAACATACCACTGCGATCGCTGCTGCAGAGTCGACGTAGACGTATTTCGTCAGCTATCGTCGCTCATATAAAGAGTCGGGAAGCTTATCAGATCCCTTCATCAGTTCTGCCACAAGCACAGTCTTGTTTTGTGTGCCCATTCACCTCACACCAGCCTCTGTAACAGCCAGAACCGTCATCATGCCTGCTGTCGTTGAGAACGCTCCGGCTTCGACCATCAGAGGAGGCCATGAGCAGTCCCGACCGCGCATCTCCGAGCCACTGCAGTATTCCGGGTCTCTGGACTCGTATGCCCGGCAAGACCTGACGCCGGTCATTGGTCGCGAGTACAAAGGTCTTCAGGTGGCAGAGATCTTGAAGTCAGAGCAATGCGATCAGATCATCAAGGATCTCGCAGTAACAAGTATGACATGATTTCCGAAAGTTTTGAACACGCTGATGTTGACGGGAACAGTCTCAAGCCGAGGGGTTGTATTCCTGCGTGATCAAGACGTGACACCGCAGCAGATGCGCGAGTTCGGAGAGAAGCTGACACACCTGGCCGGATGCGTAAGTACACCCCACACTCCAGCTAACTAAGAGATGTACCTCCCAAAAACACCTGACTGACCGCCCCCATCACAGCCCGAGTCATCCGGGCTGCACATCCACCCCCTGACAGAAGAAGGCAGCGAGCTAGGCGACCAGATTAGCGTGATCAGCAGCGAGAAGCAGAAGAAGGGCGGCGGCCTCACGCACCAACTCAGCGACACGAGCCGCTTCGCGTCCGTGGGCTGGCACAGCGACATCAGCTTCGAGCCCGTCCCCTCCGACTACGCCATGCTGAAGATTCACACGCTCCCAGAGACGGGCGGCGACACCCTCTGGGCGTCGGGCTATGAGATCTACGATCGCCTGTCGCCCGCCATGGCGGAGATGCTGGAGGGGCTGACGGCGACGCACGACGCGACCTTCTTCCACGACGAGGCGCGGCGGCTGGGCAATCCGTTGCGGAAGGGAATTCGAGGCTCGCCCCTCAACCAGGGCGAAGCGCTGACCGCCGTCCATCCTGTCATTCGCACGAATCGTAGGTTCCCTTCCATCAGTTTCCCCTGGGTATCTTTTTTCAAGTTCTGTGATCTCGACTTCTAACTTTGCGTCTATAGCTGTCACCGGCTGGAAGTCCGTGTATGTGAACAAAGGCTTCACGAAGCGCATCAACGGGGTCACCAAGGATGAATCCGACGTGTTGCTCGCCTATCTGTTCAATGTGAGTGTGGCCGACAGACAACTTCAAATGTGGGCAGGTTGACTGACTGGTTCGTTCCTAGCTCATTACCCAAAACCACGACGCGCAGGTTCGCTTCCGGTGGAATAAGAATGATTTGGCCGTTTGGGATAACCGGTCGACCTGGCACTGTGCCACGTACGACTACGCCGAGGCTCGGGCTGGCGACCGGGTCTGCAGTCTGGGTGAAGCGCCCTATCTCGATACTCGCTCGAGGTCGAGGAAGCAGGCCTTGGGGGAGGCTTGATGCGGTGGGCTGCGGTGTCCATCGGTAACGCTATAATGAATAATAAATATATCAATATAATCTTCAGAGACGTTTTAGGCTTCAGGGCTCGTAGTCTTTGTTGCAGAGAAGTGGCGCATCTACGGACGTATTGCCCAGGGCTGAGGGAAATAGGTTAAACTCAATATTGATTTCAAAATGTAAATAGAGGCTTCCAGAGCCTACTCATAGATACAATATCTATCCAGCTAATGAAGATCACAGATATCCAAGTTCAGATCATCTCCCACATGCTTGCTTATATGATTAGTGCTTAAATAGCACTCCATGGTAGTGACCCTATAGTCGTTTTCCTCAAGTCGATTACCCAGTCACCGTCTTGCAACCACATACTTAACAAATACCTGCTTTGTCAGGGGCATAATTGGGAATCCAAGACAAGTCTAAGCCTGGCAAGGCTCACCCAGCTTCATGTAATTCCAGCAGACTGTATAGCATTAGCATGCGGAAAGTAAAACTGGCAGGGTCTGAGAGAGCACTTACTGCTGAAGCCCATGTCGTCACCAAACATGGTAGCGTAGGTTTTCGCACCGTCCTGCAGCCCACCCTCCGAGTCATATGCCACAGCGTTCTTGCCCAGAGCGATAGCCATGACGGCCGGGTGCGGCTGCAGGTTGACGAACTCAGGCTTAGTGCTCAAAGCCTGAGCCATCATGCGCTGATGGACATTGGTCGCTGCGTAATGACCCTTGTGCATGGCAGCGCCACAGCGTTTGATCCCCGACCACGAAACGATATCACCCACAGCGAAGTGGTCATCTGCGTTGGGAACATTGTCCGGAAATTGCAGACTGGGCGGCAGTCAGTTGAGGCTCCGTGGGACACAGGAGAAGAGGGACTTACGAGGGTCTGATCTTGACGAGTCCCTCCTCGTTCAACGCCTCTTTAGGCAGATAGGTGGAAGTGGCGACACTCTTCGAAACGGCGTTCATCACATGGCCAGCCGTGAGCTTGGTGCCGTCGGAGAGAGTAAGCTGCCAGACGCGGCGTCTTCCCTCTGTCTCAACGGCAGTGGTGTCGACAACGCGTTGTCCGAGGATGACTGTGACCTCCTGCTCGCGGAGGATAGTACAGATGCGCTCTTTGAACGCATCGGGCAGAGGCTCGGCAGAAAGGAGGTGGTCACGGGAATGGATCAGGGTGATCTTCTGGTTGGGGTAAAGATCTTTCAACTCGGCGGCCATTTCAGCACCGACGGCACCTGCAGGTCATTAGCTATCAGTAATACGCAGGCGTGGGGGTACGCGAGAATATTTACCCCCTCCAATCACCACGACGCCTTCCTTCGCGTTCTGGATGGCCTCAACATTCTTCCTTGTCTCTTCCAGGAACTCTCGACGCTCCAGGGACTGTGGCACTGTCGGAAAAGCGCGGCGTAGACCAGATGCAGCGATCAAAAAGTCGTACTTTTCTTCCCTCGATCGCCTCGTCTGGCTATCAAGGATCTGAGCCACCTTCCGCTGGCAGTCCACCGAGTGGACACTTCCTTGGATCCATTTGATGTCTGGAGTCTTCAAGGCAGGAATGTCCACGAATCTATTCCAGGTCTTTGAGGCGTATTTTTCCGAGGCGAGTGCCTTGGGGGAGCCGATGAGGTGATCTGGAGTCATTTTTGGGATTAGTGGCTGTATGTTATAGGACGGAATCAGCGGGAAGACTACTGACAGTATCCATCCCTCTCGTCCACCAATGTGATCTGGATGGGTATGCGATGTTGAGGGGGCTGTGCATTGGGCGTGAAGTTGAAACGAGCGAGACGGCCACGGCAAAGATCGATCAGCGTCATGGCTGACGCCAATCCACCGTAGGAGCCACCAACGATCAGAACGCGGAACTCGCGCGCAAGCGAGACAAGGCCCTCATTGGACGGCATTGTGAGAGTGTCGTGCTAGTAGCTTTTGGAGGTCTATTATTCTGATCGGAGATAAGAGAGGAAAGGGAGAGGAGAGAGCCAATGTTGAAGAAATGGGCGGAGTAAGTAGAGACGGAAGTTGAGTGAAAAAAAGTAGCCCGGAGCAAAGGGGGCGCAGGCCATTCTTAAGAGTAACGCCATGATAACAAGAGTGTAACCAGCGACTTGTCAACCGAGACCGGGGGACAGATGCCCAGAATCTGTGGATCCGATGGGGACATCTGTCACAAACACAAACGTTCCCTTGCTGTATCGGAGGTGCCTGGACTAGACCGAAATGTTGTCTCGGGGATTTCGGCGGAGACCGAGCGAGAACTCTTTACCAAAAACGAATATGGGAAATTGCGAAGTGATGTCGATTTCATATAGTGAGGAGCTTCGGACTCAATATTCTGGAATGAACATTCCAGTGACACAGGCTCGATCGAAATCGGATGACTACGGATACCAAGTTACAAGAAGCCGGATGGTTGTTTTCCGTATCTTTGATCCATCTTATCAGATTGGCGCCAAGTGGCGCAACCGGGTCCTGGCTGTATCTCGCCCAATCACTGGTCGCCGGAGCACCCAGAATGCGAGAGACTCATTTGAACCTGTGACCAATGTGGAAGAGAAATCGCACATTTGACAAATTCATTCCGAGACACGGCCAATCAATCCTCTAAGCAGTTGGTTAAGTGGATCCCACACTCACAAAGGCACAAACCTCTCTGATTCCGGTTCCGTTTATCTGATCCGTC